AATTTAACTTGATAGAGTTATATTATTTATTTGTTTACTTACTTACTTTAAAGGGGAGATAATTTTAAGAGGCAATTTCACATCATTAGTACTATATCTTAAGCTCATGGATATCTAGCTAGTCTTTGCATTTTCCCCTTTCTCCTGGTTGCAATGTCTTGTCTGTCAGAAGACAAGTAAGTACATATAAACCCCAAAGCTATAATGAATTTGTTTCCTAGTTTATCAGATTATTAGTCACTTCTCTGTACTTAGAATTTATTGCACCATAGAAATTAGCTAACAAGGTTGACACTGTTTTCTTGAACGAGCCTGCCACCTAGTGGTTATTTGGAAAACCAGATGGGGCAAAACTCGTGCTCTGTACTTTGTCTTCTATAAATATGTTTTGAGCAGCTAATGTGTACCAAACACTGGAATGAAATGGACAGGAATCTCCAGTCTCCTGGAGCTTACAGTGTATAGCATAAGGACTTGTGTACATAAGCTGAAGTTTGGAAATGTGGTCCACCTTCACAGCGTGTTAATATCTTACCTACAAGTGTGCTCATCTTCCCTATGCTACTTGTGAGCGAAAAGTCACTGCTCCCATAAATGTCAGCTCTTCCCTCTTCCGTTTCCTGGGCCTTCCACTCGGCAATCTGCAGGCCTCAGGTCGGTTTTAGGCAGCTGCCAACAAGACATGGGGTCCCCGCTGCCAGACCTCCACAGTGCGCCTTTAGGCAGAAATGGGGAAACCCTTTCACTCGGGCCAAAACACACGTTGCAGTAGGTTTAAAAGAAGAAGAAGAAAACCTTAAAGTACAAATATTTCTCACTATTTTTCTGTCAACACAATACTGAAGAAGTCAAGGTTTTCACTGCAGGGTTTATTTCAGGTTCACACCAAAGTGTCTGGCATTTAGGAAGAGAAGCTGGAGGAGAAGGATGAAGAACTGCGTGGTGGCCCCCCTGTGTCCCCAGCGGTCTGGGGTCCCCAGGGGGAAAGCCTCTGCTTGAGACTCAGGGGAAGGCAGCTTCGGAGCCTGGGGGTGGGGTGGGTGTGGGTTTCGAACACACCTCGCTCACCTAAAGGACATTCTGTCCAGTCCCAGGAGGGGCTTCTTGCTTCTCCCCTGCACCCTCCATCCACGGGGAATCTTCCCACAGGCACCAGCACAAAGTTGCCTGTCTGGGGCATCCGATTTTTACCTTTTGGTAACAACCCTTTAGCAGAATTATAATACGATGGTTTCTGTAGTTTGCAGGCTGAAACAATAAATGGCCCTGGGAGAACATTTCTTTATCTCCAGTAAAATCATTATTGAAATATTGTCCTTTGTGAAATTTCCTATTCTTTACATAAAGAGATATAGCAACACATTCCTTTCTTTAAAAGTCGATTGCTAGGAAGATTTGTCCCTCCTGACACTCTGAAAATGTTTGCTTTTATTAGCAAAATTAATAGTCCATAATATTTCAATTTTTTCTTTTGGCTGCCAGGATGCTTAGAGCTAAATTCTCATGCAAATGTAGCTATATAGTTCAGATTTTCCATTATAGCTACCTAGGCCCTCCCGTAAGCCCTGATACAGTGCTTAACTCTTATTTTATCTTTTCCTTAATGGTCCTATTGGTGGTGCTATAAAGCCAGGTTCTTTAGGACGCTTTTTCTGAATGTGTCTTATGAATTGGCTAAGGGCTTTAAATACCTTTTCCCTCGGAATCCTCAGAGCAACCCAGTGCTGTTGGAATTTTTCCATATTCCAGATGAAAGAGACTGAGGCTGAAAAAACCACGAAGAATTGTGTTCAAAATCAAAAAGCTGGAGAGTGGAGGCCAAGTCAGGACTTGAAACCAATGCTAGTTAAAAAACCAGACTGGTCAACGCATCCCCACTAGTCCCATTTCAAGGAAGTTCAACAGGTGTCAGAGGAAACTGTTAGAAGAGAATCACTTTTCCCAGATGAAACCCAAACAGCGAAGTGCTATTGGAAAAACAAAGCCAATTTTTATTGGTAATGAAACGTATGCAACTTAAAACCATTTTGCACCCATGAAAAGTTATGAAGTGTATTGGCGTTGGAGCTCTGGGGAAATGGGTTCTTTTAAGTTTTTTTTTTGTCATTTGTTTGTTACACAGGACTTTTAAATCTCATTGGAGGACAAAACCCCATAAAAACCAGCATGGGAATGGTTGGTGGGTCCCACTGCTAGACTCTTAAACTGAGGGAATATTTTTAAAAGATGACAACTATGTGTTTAAAGCTGTCACAGCAGCATGATTAAAAGTAAAACAAAAAAGGAAGATAATTGGCCTTCAATAGGATGAGATACTTAAGTGATTTTGATCACTTTTGGTCATTTGGATAGATGAAGACACACATAAAAACCAATGCTACAGAGCAAACAGAACTTTGTGTTGATTATGGGTCCGTCAGTGCCAAAAGGAAGTTAATATATGGACGGCAGAGTAGGTCCTAGGTATAGGCCAAAGTCTCCTTGCTCTTACCACCACCTCAAAAGCTGGGGGTGGGGGGTCTTTTGCATTGGAGGTGAAGGAGAGTGGGACACCCCAGGGACCTGGGCCAGCAGCCAAAAGGATGCCAGGGACAGGGGCCACATTCTTCCTCCAAACTGAGCCCCTGATTTAAAGGTGACGAAGCAGAAAAATACAAGAGACAGAATGCAGAGTTCAAATACAGAGTGCAGGGAGAGCTCCTGAGAGGGCAGTCTCTAAGAAGGGATTCCTTGGCCTGGGACCAATCTCTTTAACACACAAAATCCTATGCAGTTCCCAAGGTAATGAGTGGTCATTGCAAAAACATCCATTCGACACGGAAGATGGTGTGGAAGATGGTGCTGGAGAGCCGAGCAACTGCCACCCCACCTCTGAAATCACCCAAGTTCTCAGAGAGAGTGATGAGGTGCCGGTTTTGGCTAAAATCCCGCGATCATTTTCCCGTGTATCGATTTGCAGCCTAATGGGGCAACGCTATCCCTCCTGTTCAGCAACTTGCTTTAGGTACCTACGAGGTTGTTTTTGACCGCGTTCCCTGTGTTGGACTTTGATCAAATAAATACTCTAGTTACAATGAAATTGCTTTTGTTGTCGTTCTTCCAAGTCCTCCAGGAACAGTGACAAGAGCTGTGATTTTCTTCTTGTGTCAGATTTCCTGGTCCCTCCCTGGACATGCTGCCTCATTTTCACAGATGGCAGTGGGTTGGCCTTAGAACTACTGACACAATAGCTTATTTTTTGCTTATTTTTTAAAGATATCCTCCACTGTTTATGCCAGCTTTTACCTGAATACACTTTAAGTCTGGCTCTCTCATTTCTTACTGTCTTACTTTTTTTGCTTTGGAGAGAGGCCTTTCTTTCTGACCTTGAGTTGAGCTTACCTGAGGAGATTTCTGGGTGTGGGACGCAATCAGGTAGTGGCTTCTGTGAGTGCTGGGGGGCCTGTCCCCAGACAGAGTGAAGCAGACGTTGGAATTTGGACTGCATTTGCACTTGGAGAAGTGGGGGGAACAGCACCCCAAATTAATCCATAGCAACAAGGTGCATCCTCTGCATTCCTTTTGGCAACTTTCTTGTGCACTTAACCAATTTATTGTGGACATCATTTTCCGCATTGGGGTTGAGGTGAAAACATTTTAATGACCAGGAAGGGCTGATCCGAGAGAAGAATCCGGCAGCAACGAGGAATGGGGTGAGACGGTGCTATCTAACCCTGGGACCTCTGCAGTCTCATGGGTTCAAGAGCAGAGCCACTGAGTAATTGTTCCACAACATTCCTTGTGCCATTATGAAGTAACTTGTTCTCTGAAGGGTTTAATGGCTGATTGCAGGGCAAGGGCTGCCAGAGAATTAAGGCTTGTTTCCCCAACACTGAAGTCCTCTGCTCTGATCCTCTGCCCCGTGTCTGTGGAAACAGGGAGGCACTGTTTGGAAAAAGCTCTTGCTGGTCAGTGGGGCAAACACCCTTTTATCGTGGGTTTTGTGTGCTTTCTTAATAGAAAATACTAGAGAGTAGAAAAAGTACTTTGGGACTGAAAGCCTAGGTAGGGAAATTAGTCGACGTCAGGGAGAAGAGAGTTGGGAATAACGATTCAGGTAGAGCACAGGATTGCTTTTTATTCACCTTTTATCTGGGGCAAAAACCTTCCTAGTGTTGTGCCAAGGCCAGGTTGCTCCTTCCAGTTCAAGTCCAACGCTTCGTAGTAAACACATGTTTGCTCAGGTTTCCTGGCTATCCTTTTACAGCACATGAGGAAAGTGAAATAAGGAACTGAAGTCAAGCTGTTTTCTTCCAGTTGCTCAGCATGTAGTGACAGAGAGGGGAACTCAAGATCTCTGATGGTCATCTTTGGCACTGCTCTCGAAGGGACTGCCTGGATCTGTGCTGCAGTGCAGGAAGGTGGTCAGTGATGGGCTCAGGGTGCGTCGCAGGCTCCTGCTCGAAGAACTGCTATATCTTTGTACCTCCAAACTTGCTGCCTGCTCAAGATACCCTGAACCCCAGTAAGAGGCTGTTTGTTCCCCTTGCAGCACGGGATCTTAACAAAAAATCAGGTGTTTTCCAACTTCATGTGATATGAAACCAAAGTTTCCCAAACTCATTTTGCATTTTGGGCTGGATAATGTGTTGACATTTTGGACTTTGGATAATTGCCTGTTCTGGGGCTATTCTGTGCACATCGTGGGGTGTTGAGTGGCAACCCTGATCTTTATTTGTCAGATGCCAGTAGTACTTTGTCTTTTTACAATCCCATCCCCCCAAGTGCCCCCAGATACCCCCAATGCCCTCTGGGGTGCAAAGGAGCCCCAGCTTGAGAACCTGAGTGAAACTGAGGAAGTCTTTTTACTTGGCTATGTGAATGGTGAGGTTGTAATAATATGGAGGTAGTAGGGAGAAAAATGAAATAAATACTAGACAGATTTCATGATTTACCTTTGATTAAAAATAATAATATATTCAGAGAAAAAATATGTACATTTTCATATATAATGTTGGCTGTCTGGTCTTGAACTTGCAATTTGTAGATGAAGTCTTCTCCACGGGGTCTCAGAGGGTTCACACGAACTCAGTGGCCTTAAATAGGAACTACCAAAACGATGTCAAGCAGAGGCAGCTGTGGTAACACTGGGGCGATGCTGCTGTCACCGTACTTTGGCTTCATTCATGTTGGTCTGCGTCTTTTATTTGGGACTTTATTCCTCTTTCTTCTATCTAGGAGGGCAGGATGGGGAATTGAGGAAGAGGCCAGGCCTCAGGAGGAAAGGAGGAAAGAGTGGGGGCAGTGGGTGAGTTTTGGAGGTGAGAAGAGCTCTGTGGAATCATTGTGGGCCCTCGGTTGACTATTTGAAAAGGTGAACATACACCAAAGTGTTTGTAAACTGACTGGTAATTTAGGGGATGATGAGTCCATTATATCGCAAACAGTATTTATCCTTTTGATAAGTAGTTTCATAATGCAGGTTTGATTGACTGAAGCAGATTATGTAAGGAGTTGAAAATGGCAATGGAATTTATTTTACAACCCAGGAATAAAAATATATGTTGTTCGTTTGGAGAGTAGCAGTTTTTATTTTGATGATGTAATGTTGAAAAGTAATTAAATTTTCACCTTTAAAGTGAATTCCCAAGTCCATTAGTCTATAATCTAAACAGCTAGTGACATGCACAATAGTTAACATTAACAGTTCTCTAGACTCCAGAGCTTCAAATACTTAGTCACTGAGTCCTTAAGTTTGTGTTTCGAAAGATGTTGGATGAACAACTAAAAATATCCCCAAATTGGACTTTATTAGTGGTGTACGGAAATGTAATATTTTGGCTACCATTTGATACGTGTTCATAAATTCTGGAAAAGCTTCCATTCTTTGGGTTAATAGGCCTGTAGCCAGTTACATCATTATTTCATTAAAAAGGAATGCCTTAAAAATATTTTAAGAGAACAACTGATGAAAGACAAAACCGAGGCAACCCAGAGCCTCACTGGTGTAAGATTTTGCCTCTCATTTCTATGGCAACCTGTGATCTGTGTTCCGATCACACCTTTGAAAGGCTTGTTTTCTTTATCATGAAAATTTAGTCGGAAGCACTGAAGGCACTTAACATTGATTTTTGTATGTCTTTTTTCCTTTGAAAAAACTGGGACAGGAGAAAACTGACCACAACATCCACAGGCTTACTATGCAAACACAAGACCATATACTTACTAATTTTGAGATGATTTATATGCCTGGGAAATCACAGGGCTAAAAACTGAACTGAAAAACACTAACTACTCTGATACCCTAACAGACACACTCAATAAATGTCTCGGGTGTAAAATTGCAAACACTCATCTAACTTGACAGGGTCAAAACTTAAGAGACTTGCTCCCAGTGGTTTAAAATTTTACAGTCCTGTATTTTTCGACATGGGGTGATTTTTGTCTCCCAGGGGACATTTGGCAATGTTAGGAGACATTTTTGCTTGTCACAACTAGTGGAACGTATGTGGTGGTGGTGGTGTGTGTGTCAATGCGTGTTCCTGCTAGCTAGTGGGTAGAGGCCAAAGTGATGCTGACCATTGCAGAGTGCACAGCACAGCGCCCAGCAGCAGAACATTATCAACCCTGCGCCTCACAGATGGTGTGCTGGGGCGAGGGACACACACCAAAGATATTAAATTATTGAATAAATACTTGAGTTCAAACATATAAAATTGTTTTGGAGGCAATCCTAGTTGTAATTTGCGTTCCTGTTTTTGTATTCTATTTACTTGTTATTCATTTAAATGACATTAAAGAGAGAGGGAAAAAAGAAGAAAAAACAAACTCACAATATCCCTCCTTTTTTTCTTACTGACCTTTGGTTAAAATGGTGAGGTCACATGTAGGCTGTGAATACCTGTTCAGTTTTGCACACGAGTATTTCCATTGCAAAACATTTGGCGTAGCCCCGGGTTGACGTGGCCACCTCACCTAATTTAAGTTCGGGTAAGTTTTGTTTCCTGTTAATAAAAAATGGACTTACCTTTTCCCAGTTGAATGCGGATGCACTTGCCTTTAGCGTCTGTCGCCCTAAATGTGGATACACGTTGTCATCCCGATTTTGGAGGGAAACCTTGCCTCTGAATCCAATGGACAACCAGGTGAAGACGGCAGATCCGCCCTAGAAGAAAACGGGCAACTCATTTTCTTTGCCGGGATGGGTATAGGCGAGCATGAAAGCAACTCAAATACAGCCAGAGGGCGCCAAAATGCCGCAAATAAAAGTTCCAAAGGTTCACCAGGGTTGCGGGAAGGTAACATTCGCTTTTGTCTAAGGAAAGAACTACCGTTGTAAGCGATATCCTGTTACGTTCTCTTTTGCATTTGCTTTTTGCCAACAGATAAGCAAGGTGAGCATATCTCCCTACCCTGGTGGGTATTTTGTGTCCCGGTGTTCAACAAAGTGGCAGTCCCCGGGACTCCCCGACACGCTGCAGCTGGCTTTGACTTGTGCGTTTCTGCGCGGGTAGCCTCCGCTAACCCAGTGTTTCCGAGAACTGGTTGCCTCCATTAAATCACACACACACACACACACACACACACACACACACACACACACACACACGACGGGTCCGTTCCTCGGGTTCTTGTCTTTTCTTTCTCTCTCAATTCCCGAGAGCATCCCCGCAGGGCGACACTGCCTGCCCGGCCAGCTGGACCTAAGCCGTGGCGCTGGTCTGAAGCCGCAGCCGTCCTGGTTCCACCCAGAGCGCGCGCGGGAGCCGCCCACCCAGCGCGCTAGGTCCGCGGGGCGCCTCCCAGAGGTGCCAGCTGTTGGGGGCCATTCCACCCCTCGGACATCCATCCTTAGAGCCTGAGGGGAAGCCACCAGGTCACTCCCAACCTCACTGCCGACCTGGGCATAGGAATCTCAGCCGTAGTCGGGATTGGGGTGCTGAGAAAGGTAGCAGGTGGCAGGGGGCGTCCTTCATCACCTCTAGGCAGCCCCTTAAATCTGAGCTTGACCCGGAGCACTTCTAACCAACCGTTCCAAATGAGAGAATGAGAGAGAGAGAGAGAGAGAGACCCACCCACAGACAGTCCTGGAGCAGCGTGGGAGGGGAAGCATGGGGGCAGGGGCCCTGGAATGGAGGGCGGTGGGAACGGAGTGGGAAACCCGCATAGATGGCAGATAAAGAGAAGCAGGAGGGCTACAGAAGCAGGAGGAAGAACGGGGGGACCACCGGGATGGCAAAAAGAGGTGGGGGGTTTAGGGAGTGCACAGAGATGGAGCGGAGTTGAGGGGAGGCGGGCGGGGCCCCGGAATGGAGGGAAAGGCGGAGGGAGGCGGGCGGGGTGGCGGAGCGGGAGGCTGGGCGGGCGGACGCGGCGGGGGAGGTGCTGGGCAGGAAGGGGAGGGGGAGCGCGAGAGCAAGAAATGCAGAGGCTGCAGCGGCGGCGGCAGTAGCGGCAGCGCTCCAACTCGCTCCTCGCTCCGGGCTCCGCCGTCGAGCCGGAGAAAGGGTCTCCGTCAGCGGCCAGACACCCGGCCGGACGACGCCAGCGATCCGGGCCCGTCGGCGGCACCGCATTCACCCAGGGGCGGCGCAGGCACCCAGAGCCGGTAAGGAGGCGCGTCCGGGTGGCCCCGCCGCCGCCGCCGAACAGGGACGCCGGCAGCCTTGGGGGGCCTCCGTTTCTCCACTGCACGGCGCCCTGCTCCGCAGGCCCCTCGTTCTGTCCGCGCTGCAGCCGGGGTGGGTGGGGGGTGGTGGTGCAGGGCCCTGTTAGACGACGCAGGGCGTGGGGTCCCTCCACGAGGGCTCCATCGCACTTCGGGGATCTGGGGTGTTGGGGGCGGCGAGGTGGGAGGCTTCAGCCACTCTCAGGGTGGGGAGGATGCGGGGGATGTCGAGCCTGAGAAACGGAGTTGGGGCGGGTGGTGGGGAGCGGGAGAGAAGCTGCTAGTTGAGTAAACTGCCGAATGCGAAAGCCTTTAAACGCACTGAGGCCCAAAGAGCGGTTTGGTGGGCCTGAAGGGAGCGTATCTGTCATCGGAACCTTCAACGGCCGGGAAGAAAGCATTTGGTGCGAGGGGCGCAGCAGTGAAAGATGGAGGGTGGGGGTGGGGTGGGGCGGGAGAGACGGGAGGAAGAATATGGGGAATTTGGTCTGATCGGAGAAGGGAGGTGGCTTTGGGGTTTAGCAAATGAATTTCCTTGACCAGTGGGACTCCTGAATCTTGGCTTGGGGTGGCCGAGGAATGCGAGGTTCACACGACAACGTGCCTCCAGAAGCACATCCGAGCCGATCAAAGCCTCAGCCTCGGACGTGGCTGAACTGCTTTCCCACTAACCTGTGGGCCACCTCTGAGCATTTCGATTTTTGGAGTCTTCGGTTCAGAGAATGCACCAGGAGCTTCCACTCGCGGCCCCAGCCCTGAGGGTGTGAGCTTGAACCTGAGGACTCGCGGACCCCTAACGGCCCAGCCCCGCTGTGAGCGAAGGTTTGGGGTTTAGCAGGTTTTGCCTAAAGCACAAACTATGAAACCCGACTCCAGGTTCCTGTTCCTCCCCCAACCCCCGCTCCGAAAAATATAAATTGCAGAATCCCTGGATCAGATCACACACACAATGCGCGGCTGCAAACCGCATTCTTTTCATGAATATTCATCGAACGCTTGGCTGGGCTCCTTATCTGCTTCCCCAGAGATATTTCCGCCTTGAAACGAACTCCGTGGACAGCCTTTGCTTGTGTAATTTTCACCCTGCTGAAATTAGCACAGTTCACACGGGTGCGTGTTGAGTACCTTGAACAGGATTGACATACCTCGGTCTCCCTCAAGGCCAGTAGCATATACGTGGCTGGTTAAAATCAAACACTAGCATCGAGGTGGTCTTCCTACCAAAGGGGTGTGGACCAACACCCTCACCCCCCTTCCCTCGGGATGGCAGCCTGGCCTAACAGAGCCCCAGTGCTGTGGGCAAAATGAATGAATCGGGACTGTAATTACCTATTCCTTTGTCTTGGCCTCGCGCATGCGCGAGAGAGCTGGGTGTGGAGGGCCGGGGCAGCGGTGTCTGATCTCTCCATCACCCACCCACCCACTCCCTTCCGAGGCGGAGGAACAAAGGCTTTTGCCCTAAATGTTGCTTGAAACCCTTGGACACAAATGACAATTTCCCTTCCCTACCCCACCCCACCCCCACCCCCACCCTTCGTGTGTGCTGCTTCCTTATCAAGCTATTCTCTCATCTTTTGCTTTCTTAGTGATTTCAATTGACCAAAAATAAGATTAGCCTTTACAATGAGAGCAAATTATGGATTAACTATTTTTTAATCGAACACTGTCACTTGCCTTTAAAGTACTGTCCATTGTTCTTTTTCCTGTAACATTGCACTGCAGAGATGGTGACTCTTAATTTGCATCAATTAACGTTCTCTGACAGATTTTTTGCTGCTGGTCATTTGATTAAAGGCCACTGATTTCAAAAACGGTTAGTGGGTATTGGCCCTACTGTTTGTCACAACTTGGTTAAAATTGAGACATCTTGGCGTTTATAGGAACAAGATGGCCTACAAAACGCAGAGTGGAGAAAATGGTTACCTTGTCAGGGGGATCCTAACCCCTCCATTTGTCCTTGCTTTCTACCTTATTGTTTCATTAGCAATCCCAAAAGGCAGCCCCCTCTGAAGATGGAAATCTACTCATGGGGGAGGAAGACAGCAGTCCCTCTGGCTGCTGGGGATGAATATAGTGGTTTATTGCGCTTTCTTTCCTTTTTTATTTTTTTCTTCTCTCCTTTCCATTTTCTTTTTCAATATCTTACAGAAGCCATAATACATGTACCTTTGGCTGATTTTCTTTCCAATAATGTATTATCCAGGTTCTGGTTTTTTAGATTTCTTTCTGAGCTACCAGCCAAAAGGAGGCATTGTGTGTATAAAGTAGGAGCTAAATATATTTTTTGCAGGTATATATACTTATAAGAATTTTAGGCTTAAGTATTCTCAGTGCACCCTGGTAGGACAACATGTGGCAGGACAAGGGAAATCATCTCTTTTGTTCCTTCCAATAAAAACTTGAGCCCTATATAAAAGGGCCTATGCTTGGTAGGAAAACTGCCTGGTACCTGTTCTATTTCTTATTATTGAGTGGTTTATTATGTGTTATAAGGCTAGATGTAGTTTTTCTCTTTTTGCTTTTCCTGTAGACTGAGTTTTTGAGGGAGAGGTGGGCTGGAATATAGACCAAATTCAATAGCAAGTATATACCAATATACCCCAAAAGCAATGAGTCTCGGGTTTTTGAGCAATAGAACTTTTAAATAGAATTTTTAAACAGATCATTTATCTTAATCTTTTACCTAGCTGGATTTTTACCAAGCCCTAGCAGGTGAGAATCAGAGCTAATTAGGCCTTTTCACAAAAATGCACCAAAGTGATTATATTGACAGTGGCATTTTCCCCTTAACTGGTGCCTGTGCTTTCATTGTGGCGTATGGAAGAGAACCCTCCCCGCCCCATCACTCTAATTAAAACGTCCAATGGAAGAGCTCAGCTTAAAGGCCTAAGCTCCCTGTTCTTGGAGGCATCATCATTAGTTACGTGTATGTGTTTAATTCACATTAAGAACAATTTGGAGCCTTTTTCATTCCATGGTCACAGTAAGTGGAGTGTGAAGAACTTATGTTTGGGTGAGATTTGATCACTGTAAAATAGATGTCTGTGCTTTTCACTGTATTTCAGAAAAAATTGCAAAACCCAAAACCATTTTTAAAGGAATTAAGGTACCATGTTTATATATATATATATATATATGTATATACACACATGCTACAAAATAATCTTACTGTTAGGAAATTAATTGGCATAGAATATTATTTGTAGTGCTTCATATTAGTCTTTGGAAAATATTTTATTTTTAAATATGTATGTAAAAGAGAGAGCCTAACTAGTCTAAGAAGCTTATTTTCAATATTTACCAGTACACCCCTAAAACAAACGGGTTTCATTAAACATCTTAAATTAAGATGTTCATTTAGAGGCTTAAAAACTTACTTTAAGCCCTACCAAATTTTAAAAGCTGCAATAATCATTGCTCTTTAAATAAAGGATTTATAAAACTGTTTTGTCTTATTTTTGTGATCTCTTTTAAGTTTTTGTTTTGAAAATATTCAGAAAGGCCTGTCTATTATTTGTTAACAGCACTTGCCTTTGGTGTCTCTTTCTGTTGAAAGACAGGCTTTGGTTTGCTTAGGCCTCTGTTTTTCTTATGTGTAGTTTTTAACCTGCTCATTTTACACTCACTTTATGTAAAAGATTAACATCTTAATGACCCTCATAGCTGGTAAACTGGAAAGTAGGCAAAAACCTTGCATATGTAGACAAGGGAAAATGGTGTGGAATCTTCTTCATTTTATCACGTTTTCTCATTTTACTGAATCTTTCTTATTTATTCTCTCTCTTAAGACTTAAGGTAATCCAATGCAACATGAACTTTACTTTTTGGCTTAATTATGGTGGATAAATATCAAGAAATGAATCTGAGGTTGTGAACTGTCAGAATTTTTAAAAGAGTACACTCTTGATGTGTTTTAGGGAATTTTTTAAAAAAGTTTTCCTAGGGTATAGTAGAAATTCATTTGTGTTTAAAAAATCTCTAGGCACTGGATGGGCCACTTTGGGCAAATTACTTCAAACATTTCTGGATTTTACTTTCTTCAGTTATAAAACTGGGATAATAATTCCTACTTTCAAGCTGTAGTAAGGGCCACATGTGTGTGTAAAAGTGCATAGGTACCACGGCTGGCTCTTAGGGGCCCCTGGACTTCTCAGTCTGCATTTCAACACTGTCAGTGTGATCAATGTCACTCATTTCTGTATATTGAGCTGTGTTTTTGTTTTATGCTGATTAATCAAGATCTGAGGGCTCTGGGTGTACTCTTGTCAGAAATAGAATATTTCATTCTTAAAAATGCTAATCCATCATAATCCTAAACTCCTGTCCATTTGGATACCTTTGAAATTCTGAGACACTGCATGGAGGTTTGCCCAAAAGTG